CTAAACCCTAAACCCTAAACCCTAAACCCTAAACCCTAAACCCTAAACCCTAAACCCTAAACCCCAAACCTACCCCAAACCTTACATGGCTTTGGGCTTTGGGATTCAGGAACCCCAACATGATGTTGGGACCAATTTAGTTTGAACGGGTATTTTGGGCAGTGCCCAGGGTTTGGGGTTTAGGGGGTTTTGTAGGAATGCAGGGGGGGGGAGGGTGACTATTGTGGCTCCTGCATTACGCCACTACTTACCTGTCTTGGGCGAAGACATAGGTCCACCTTGGGGGCGCACATTCTGCAGATCGTGGTGAAGAAGCCCTTCCAGTGGTCTGGGTGTTTCATCTCGAGCTTGATGTAGATGTTGGGCACGATGGCCTTGCCGACCAACCCTCACAAGCACAAAAGCAGTCATTCCCCTTAGCTGCTCGCTGTCACCAAAGCAAGAAGCAAGAAGCAGTCGCTCTTCATGTCAGTAAAAACTGCTCCTATCCCACCCGGCTGGTAGGCCAAACACCCCCAAACACCCAAACCGTAAACCCTACTTAGACCCTAAACCCTAAACCCTAAACCCTAAACCCTAAACCCTTTCCACAGCTCAGCCCTCAGTCCATAAGCGCATTCGAGAATGTCAAGGCCCCTGCCTGCACCTGTCTCGCGGCATACTCGGCCCGAGCAAAAGATGGGTCATCTGCCTGAAAGGGTTTAGGGTTTAGGGTTTGGGGTTTGGGGTTTGGGGTTTAGGGTTTAGGGTTTAGGGTTTAGGGTTTAGGGTTTAGGGTTTAGGGTTTAGGGTTTAGGCTGAAGGCCCTAAACCTTGAATCCTGAACCCTAAACTTTAAACAGCTCTAGACCCATACAGCTGCCCAGAGAAACCTTACCTTTGCTGGGCTTCTGGGGATTCAGCTGATGTCATAGCGACCATATTCTGGAAGATGGAAACTTGCGCCCACGAAAGGTTGCCGGTCTCCTGGCACAGCGCGCCTTGCCGGCAATCACAAAGGAAGCCATACGTCGCGCACGCGTGAGAGCAGCCTAGACACCAACAGAGGATTTCTGCAGGGCATCGGCCGTTATGGAACCCCGACTACGTCATACAAGCCTGCCGACTGACTTTGCATGCCGATGCTGTGGTGAAGTGGTGAGAAGTGGTGAGATTCAGTAACTGCAGCCGACATGAGCCGAAAAGGAAGGTGGATGAGCGGAATGCCCTAAACCCTAAACCCTAAACCCTAAACCCTAAACCCTAAACCCTAAACCCCAAACTCTCTTTACCTACAGCCTTATAGGTTCTACCCACAAATCAAAAGGTAGCTACTACTAAACCGTAGGTAAATAGACTCTCAGGTAAGGTTAAGGGCTTAGGGCAGGCCTCCGCCAATCCGAATAAGCCTCCCAAACTCGAAAGCCCCGAGCCCGAAGCCGGCAAGAGGCCGAAAAGCTTGAGGCATGTCATCCCCAACCCTTACACTCTAAACCCCTAAACCCCTAAGCCCCGTAAGCCCCTAAGCCCCTAAACCCCTAAACCCCTAAATAAACCCTAAACCCTAAACCCTAAACCCTGAACCCTAAACCCTACACCCTAGCAGAGGCACAACATGGCACGCACAGCCCTTACAGGAGAGCTCCCCAAGAGCCGCGGCAGCGATCCCCCATTCGAGGTGGGCCTGAGACGACAGGGTTTAGGGTTTAGGGTTTAGGGTTCAGGGTTTAGGGTTTAGGGCTTAGGGTTCAGGGTTCAGGGTTTAGGGTTTAGGGTAAAGGCTTTCGGGTTTAGGGTGTAGGGTTGGGGTTCAGGGTTTTGGGTTCAGGGGTTCAGGGTTTCGGGTTTAGGGTTTTCGGGTTACTCCAAGAGTAAACCCAGGAATGGCACGGGTGCCCTTTCTTGGGCCTTAGAAGGGGCCTCAGAAGGTAACCCCAACTCTAAACTACGGGAATAGAGGCCGGTTTAGGTTTAGGGTTCAGGGTTTAGGGTTTAGGGTTTAGGGTTTAGGGTTTAGGGTTTAGGGTTTAGGGCAATTCTTTCTCATCTTGGGTGGTTCGAGGGGTGAGGGGTGGGGGAAACAAAAAGCATGAGGCTAACACAATTTGGTTTTTTGTTGGTTGTCTAGTTGGTTCTAGCATGGGTTGGGGATTGGCTCGAAGTAGCGAAAGGGCCGATTGAGTGGTCCGAAGGTGGGATGGACAACTCCATGACGGAGTGAGGTTGGGGGACAGGGCTTGCTGACGAAAAACACAAACTGTCTGTATACTTCTCAATGTTTTGGTAGCTGCTTGACTAGTGAAAGCTAGTAACATGAGCTGCTGAACCCTAAACCCTAAACCCTAAACCCTAAACCCTAAACCCTAAACCCTAAACCCTAAACCCTAAACCCTAAACCCCAGTCGCTCAGGGACGGACACCGTGCCCAAAAGGGGCGACAAAGGCGGACCAGCCGGGGAAGCTGGTGGTCTGCACAAGCTCTTGAATTCGGGTTTAGGGTTTAGGGTTTAGGGTTTAGGGTTTAGGGTTTAGGGTTTAGGGTTTAGGGTTTAGGGTTTAGGGTTTAGGTTTTAGGGTTTAGGGTTTAGGGTCTAGGGTCTAGGGTCTAGAGTTTAGGGTTTAGGGTTTCGGTTTTGGGCTTAGGGTTTAGGCTTGGATCCTGGTGCCTCGTCTTCAGCTAGCTGACAAAGCGTAATTTGAGGGCCTGAGGTTTAGGGTGTAGGGCTTGGGGTTTAGGTTTTGGAGTTTAGGGCTGCGAAAGAAGCCTACCCCCGTTTGCGGTTTCGGTTCTTTGCTTGATGTTTGGTGGGGGCACAACAGGGTGCCACTGGGGGCCAAATCCCTGAAAGGGTTTAGGGTTTGGGGGGGGGGGGGGGGGGGGGGGGGGGGCATTTTGGCGACCTCGGAATTGGTCCAGCAACCTTTCGGCGGTTCAGGGCTTATGGGCGATAATAGGCCCTATAATTCCCAAAAGCAACCCTATAAAGGGCCTTTTTAAGGGGTTATAGGGCATAGTCTGTGGAGAAGTGGTGCAAAGAAGTGAGGGGCTACTACATCCACTGAAGCCTTCTCTAGATCCCTGCAGGGGCCCCAAAAGCTTCCAAAGCCCCAAACCCTAAACCCTAAACCCCAAACCCCAAACCCTTCAATCAGGGTCTGCAACGGGATCGGTCCTGAAGTTCTCCGTGCCTCGGCACGCCATCTCGGGAATTTGAGGTTTCCGGGGCTTGGGCTGCAGGGTAAAGGGTTCAGGGTTTGGGGGGTTAGGGCCCTGAAGCCATAAACCCTACAAACCCGAAACCCTACTCAATGCTTTGGTGCCATATGTTTGTTGGAAAGTATTTGCGGTTTAGGGTTGGGATGTTCCCCCCTTATACGAGAAGTCCTGAGTGCTGATACCCCATATTTTAATCCAGATTAAGGACTGCTAGTCTAAGGAGACATCCCAAGCTTACGCTTAAGGGCGTAAGGCTTAGGGTTTATGGGCGTTCGCCATGGGATATGGGATAGCACCAGCAGCTGCAGACCTAATGTTGACCGCGAGCCTCCACCCCCCCCACCTCCCCTCCCTAAGAGGAAAACAAACAAAAGTTCCAGACCCGAGAATGCAAAACTAAAACCCTAAACCCCTCAACCCGAAAGCCTTTACCCTAAACCCCAAACCCTAAACCCTAAATCTCAGGGCCGGACCCTTGTGGAAGAAGGTGCCCGGTGGTCCCTGTTCCGGGGCACCTGATGTTGGGTTGAGGGTTTAGGGTTTAGGGTTTAGGGTTTAGGGTTTAGGGTTTAGGGTTTAGGGTTTAGGGTTTAGGGTTTAGGGTTTAGGGTTTAGGGTTAGGGATCAGGGTTTAGGGCTTCGGGGGCATAGCTTGGCCGCTTAAGAGCCCTCTCAAGAGAGAGGTTCCCAAACAGGATCCACTTCATCCAAAGAAGGGATCACAACAACAAAAATCCCCAAGGTTCTACCTGGGGTACACGCCTCATACAACCCTAAACATCCCTAAGACCCAGCACCTAGGGTTTAGGGTTTAGGGTTTAGGGTTTAGGGATAGGGTGAGATCGGAAGGCCTTGGCTTCAGTCTTCAAAGCTTTCGCGCTCGGAGGCGGGTTTAGGTTAGGGTTTGGGGTTTGGGGTTTAGGGGTTTAGGGGTTTAGGGGTTTAGGGGTTTAGGGGTTTAGGGGTTTAGGGGTTTAGGGGTTTAGGGGTTTAGGGGTTTAGGGGTTTAGGTGTTTAGGGGTTTAGGGGTTTAGGGGTTTAGGGGTTTAGGGGTTTAGGGGTTTAGGGGTTTAGGGGTTTAGGGGTTTAGGGGTTTAGGGGTTTAGGGGTTTAGGGGTTTAGGGGTTTAGGGGTTTAGGGGTTTAGGGTTTAGGGTTTGGGGTTCAGGGGTTAGGGCTTGGTGTGTAGGGTGTAGGGTTCATCCAGACGGATTAGCTCAGGGGCTTAGGTTTCGGTCTGAGGAGGCAGGGAGTTAAGGTTTACGGCCGCGGCCTTACAAGATACGGCCGCGCGACCCTGTGCCGAGGGATGGATGCGATACGTGTCGGAAATTGCAGCCTTCTAGGTTAGGGTTTAGGGTTTGGGGTTTAGGGTTTTAGGGTTCAGGGTTCAGGGTTTAGGGTTTAGGGTTTAGGCCCTTTTAGGCCCGAAAAATCACGGTCTGAGATGCTTGCTGGGCTTCTTCTCCGCCTGCACCACAAGCAGGCTTTCGGGCTTCTGGGGTTGAATACCAGCCAGAATTGCAGGCGTCCATGCAGAAGCACTCTACCGGCACAGAAGCTGCTCATAATTGCTCAGAACTCTCGCGCTGACCAGAATCCTAAGCACTTAACCCAAGACCCGAAACCCTAAACCCTACCCTACACGCTAAACCCTAAACCCTGGCCTTTTTTAGCAATCGTCGCGCTGTGCGCTGATGCAGGAGCAATTCTTGCGTCATGCGCCCGGTCTTGTGCCCAAGGCGCACAGCCAGAACCTACTCACCCTAAACCCGCGAAACCCTGTAATTGCATCCTAACCTCTCTCATGATCCAATCACGGCGTTGACAAACTCCACGACAAGCTCCTTCGAAGCTGAATCCCATGCAGGCAACGACGCGTTTCGAATGCAAGTTGGAATATGTTGGGCATGCGTCTTCTGATGCTTTATCTTGTTGCCAGGATATGTATCGCATCATCTAAATTCCGTGCTTAAGAACGCAACAAAAACCTGGCCGCTAGCTTCCCAAAAGAGACTCAACATGGAACCTGTATCTTCTCGCTGCAAAGAACTGCACTTGCAGCAACAACGGCCTTAACCCGGGGTTTAGGGTTTAGGGTTTAGGGTTTAGGGTTTAGGGTTTAGGGTTTAGGGTTCTCCGGCACTACGAAAATATCGGCTCTTGAGGCGGGGGTTCAAGGGGGGTATGTAAGCCAAGGTTCCCCTCGTACTCCCTACTACTCCGATAAGCTTCCCTAAGGTTCCCTAGGTACTTGCCCCGCTTGAACCCCCCGTCCCTTAAGAACCCTATAACCTTAAACCCTAAACCCTAAACCCTAAACCCTAAACCCTAAACCCTAAACCCTAAACCCTACGAAAGAGGTCAGAACTTGGAGAAAGCAACCGGCCACATCCGACACACACTTTCTGAAATGTTGCCGAGGTTCCGCAACCTCACTTGGAGCCTGCTCAAGCTGCTTGGTTTTAGGGTTTAGGGTTTAGGGTTTAGGGTTGAGGGTTTAGGGTTTAGGGTTCAGGGCTACACGTGGGCCATGGGCCATTGGGGCGTACCCTAAACCCGAAAAGGCCAAAACTTAAAGGGCTCTTAAGGCAAGCTGAGGAACTGCGAACGGAGTAACATAGGGGTCGGAATAATTGCAAATAGTATTCCTTTGGGGTCCCTTTATATGTATACCATAATACCCCCCAAAACCCTAATTCTAAGTATTCAGGCCTCTATATCAGACGTGGTCCAAACCGTTTCACATGGCCATGTTCCAGGACGCCCTGTCTCACGGATGTTTTCACACGAGACCAAACACTGGCTGTAGGGTTTAGGGTTTAGGGTTTAGGGTTTAGGTTAGGGTTCGGGACCATAACCCTTATAGGATGCTTCGGTGAAGGCCAACCCTAAACCCTAAACCCTCAAACCAACCCAGAATCTACCCCAAAATGCTCTCTTCTGTACTAGGATGGCCCATAAAACCCTCTGAACAAATATTCCTAAAGTTGATCATCTTCAACCCCCAATAAGGAAAAACTATGGAATCTCCTAAGGGCCTACGTAAGCCCCCAAACCCTGAGCCCTAAACCTCAACCTTAAACCCTAAGCCCTAACCCTAAACCCTAAACCCTGAACCCTAAACCCTAAACCCTAAACCCTGTTTTCCGAGATGCCGGCCTCCAGCATCGGAGCGTGGCCGGCACGCGACACCTCCTTCAAGCGAGCCTTGGGCAGTGCCTCAACGATGGCCTGCTGACGGCTGGGGAGGAAAGCGTTGCTGTTTGTTGTTGCTTTTCTGTCTTCTGTCTGTGTGTGTATGTTTATAAAAAATAGTATATATATATACATATATATTGACTACTATTATTCTTATTATTATTACTATTTGTTATATATATATATACATATATATATATATACATATATATATATATATATATATTGTTTTTTTTTTGGGGGGGGGGGGGGGGGGGGGGGGTAGGGTTTAGGGCCCAACTCTTGCAAATCTCCGCGGCGCATGTCCGTACAGAGTCTTCAAACTTCAACACCCCGAACCCTAAAACCGTGTAAGCCCCCAACTTACGATCCTGAAGCCGCAAGACCGCAAAACCGCCAAACTTTGTGTTCAAACCCTGAAAACCCGGTTTTGGGTTTAGGGGGTTTGGGGTTTAGGGTTTAGGGTTCAGGGTTCAGGGTTTAGGGTTTAGGGTTTAGGGTTTGACTAGCCGGCCGGCCTTCGAATCCTCGGCGGAGACAAGACCGTCTTCGGCACCTGGCGATTGGGACTTAGGCTGCGAGCCACCAAGGCCTCAACCACACACACACACACACACACACACAAGCCAGAAAACTAAAACCGACCAAATGATCGAGCCCGGAACATGAATCAAGGAACCTCCCTCAACCCCAAATCCCAAGAAAACCTCAAACCTTATACCTACATACACCTACATACACCCCGTATACACCCTAAATCCTAAATTTAAAACCATGGACCCTGAGCTCTAAACCCTAAACCCTGAATCCTGAAACCTAGACCCTGAGCCCTAAGGACCGATACCCTAAACCCTAAACCCTAAGCCCTTAATCCCAAACTATGCACCCGACACACTGCCGCCTGGCCTCGCACCACCAGCGCAGGCAGGCCCTGGCAGGCCGCCACGTCTGCATCCGTGGCGTTGCGCACCTGCCTGTAGTAGGCCTTGCACCTTCCAGGGCAGGGTTGAGGGTTTAGGGTTAGGGTTCAGGGTTTAGGGTTTAGGGTTTAGGGTTGAGTATGGGGGCTTTTGCAAAATTGGGAGCTTTGTCCAGTGACTCATTTAATGGCAAGAGTAATGGCGCATGACAAGGAACCTAGGCCCATCAAACATAGGGGGAAGTAAGGGGTATAGTACTCATCTTAGATTGCCCTCAATCCAACACATGGGCATATCCCAAAATACGGGGCACCCCTTTTGCACCCCAAATAGAGTAGAATCCCCTTAAAGGGAATCCCAAAAAGGGTACCCCTATTTTCGGAAACACCCCCTAAACCCTAAACCCTAAACCCTCAACCCTAAACCCTAAACCCTAAACCCGAAACCCCATTTGACTGCCAGGGCGCATGTACATGGGATTGCCGTTGCAGGCGTCTTCCTCCTGCTTGCGCAGCTCAGGGTCGCAGGAGGCGGCAAGCGCCATCTTCAAGAAAGCATCCGTCATCCCATGCCTCAACTGTTGGTTAGTAGGGAACCCGAAGCCCTAACCCTAAACCCCTAAACCCTAAACCCTAAACCCTAAACCCTAAACCCTAAACCCTAAACCCTAAACCCTAAACCCTAAACCCTAAACCCTAAACCCTAAACCCTACTAATCAACAGTAAGATGCTGCATCCACCGCAGGACAAAGACAGGGAGGTTGAAGACCGGATGGCCTGAAGCAAACGGGCTTTAAGGGTTTAGGGTTTAGAGTTTAGGGTTTAGGGTTCAGGCGGTATGGTAGGGTGGTGAGTTGAGTCATGATATCCTTCTCCCCAAACCCTAAGCCCTGAGGCCTAGAACCCTGAACCCTGAACCCCTGAACCCTGAACCCTAAACCCTGAACCCTAAACCCTAAACCCTAAACCCTAAACCCTAAAACCTAAACCCTAAACCCTAAACCCTAAACCCCAAACCCCAAACCCCAACCCCCCCCCCCCCCCCCCCCAACATCTCCAGCAACCTTCGGGAAACGTCTTCGCCGCGCCGAGCAGAACCAGACCCGAGACCGACTGGAGCTCGTCGGGCGCCAGGGACGCCATCAAGCCTGGGTGTGTTTAGGGTTTAGGGTTTAGGGTTTAGGGTTTAGGGTTTAGGGTTTAGGGTTTAGGGTTTAGGGTTTAGGGTTTAGGGTTTACTTTGCCCTAGCCCTAAACCCTGAACCCTATGCTTCCTAAACCCCAAACCCCACACCCTAAACCCTAAACCCTACACCCTGAACCCTGAACCCGAAACCCGAAACGCTAAACCCTAAACCTTAACCCTTAACCCTGAGCCGAATCGTGCAACCCGGAGGTCTTTCACACCCTAAGAACACCACACAAGTCCTTAGACCCAGCATCTGCCAGAAACTGCGGGATGCGTCAATTATGGAATAGTCCTTGGATTTAGGGTTTAGGGTTTAGAGCTTAGTGAGAAAAATCCTAGATTCAGGGCTTTGTGCTACGACTTGGAGGGCACAAACCCAAAACCCTAGAAGCCCAGACAGTCTCTTGACGTAAGATTTTTTGCAAAAATCTGCAGGGCAGCCATAAACCCTAAACCCTAAACCCCAAACCCCAAACCCCAAACCCTACCAGTCTCTGCACATCTGTCAACATGCCCAACGCGCTGAAGACAAGACATGCGCAATGCATGTTTGGGGTTAAGGGTTGAGGGTTTAGGGTTTAGGGTTTAGGGTTTAATTAGGGTTTAGGGTTTAGGGTTTAGGGTTGAGGGTTCAACTTTTAGTGTTTCGGATCTACCTTCAACTTAAGCGTCCAGCCAAATCTTGCATGATTAGTGCCAGTTCCCCTTGGTTTGGGTGGTGCTTCACGGGCTCTGTCTGGGGTCTAGGGTCTGTTTCAAGCAAGGTTCATCCATCCCATCAATGGCCCCTCTACACCCTACACCCTACAGCCTACACGCTACACGCCACAGCCTAAACCCTACACCCTACACCCTACACCCTACACCTTACACCCTACACCCTAAACCCTAAACCCTAAACCCTAACCACAACAGTCCAGCTTGAACGTGCCGCGCGTCGAATCACCAGATGAGTGCCGAAGGAGTGTCCTGCTACCTTCCCAGGAAGGGGCTTCGAGGGTTTTAGGGGTTATTTAGGGTTTAGGGTTTAGGATTTGGGGTTTAGGGTTTGGGGTTTCGGGTTTGAGGTTTAGGATTTGGGGTTTCGGGTTTGGGGGTTTTAGGATTTGGGGAGTTCGGTTTAGGGCAGCGACACTGACGTCGTTTGCACTTTGGTAGCTAGTGGGAGGGAGCCCTTGAGGTTCTTCACCCATGGACCCCCTAAAAGTAAAGAAGCCGACAACACAAACAACAAAAAAAAAATAACCGAGACCCTACCCCCGAAACCCTAAACCCTAAACCTCGAAATCTGAAACCTAAACCCGATGCACCCTCAACCCTGTGCGCGATGTTGTCCAGAGAGGCAAACCTCCTGTAAATACCAGTTGGGCATCTAAACCCTAGCCCCTAAACCCTAAACCCTAAACCCTAAACACCCTCGTGACAGAGTCTCTTGTTCCATTAATGTCAGAGCAATGTGTTGTGCAAAGATAGTCGCCCCAAAGGCATGGACGCTTGTGACAGCATAATATCTTGTTCCACACTTTTGTGCAGTATGATGTACGGCTGTCAATGCCAGTGCTTTGGGCACGGTCGCCATATGCAGGGCGCGTGGTCCAACTAACTGCTTCATATGGGTAGTTGGGTACCCCTCTTGTACCCCAAGCAGAATAGAGTCCCCTTAAAGGGACCCCCCAAAAAGGGTACCCCTTTTGTCGGAAACCCCCATTATAGCCCGCTGCCAGGCCGCGAAATGTGGCCCGGCGCCGCACGCTTTCGCGAGCTTCCAGACTGCCGACAGGTCTGCCAGGAGCTCGTCGAAAGAGTAAGCCGCCCAGGAGTCCTGTCAAGCTCGGAAAGAAAGCTGAGAGTGAAGGGGCTCAGGGTTCGAGGCGCGGAGTTTTGCCCTAAACCCTGAACTCCCGGAACCCTAAACCCTAAACAGGTTTGGGGTTTAGGGTTCGAGTTTTTTTGGGTTGAGGGTTTGGGGTTTAAGGTACGGATGGAATAGTCCCAAGGATGCATGTGCCTAGGTTTTCTTAGGCTTTGAGAGACTTCCTTTTGAACGTGGGAGGGGTGGGGGGGGGGGGGGGGTACACGGGCCCTATTGCTGGCTGCTGTTGGAAAACCTAAACCCTAAACCCAAACCCTAAACCCTAAACCCAAACCCTAAACCCCAAACCCTGTTGTTGCTACGAGTACCTGCATCTTTTTTTGCAGGGGGAGGGTCTGCACTCCGAAGCACAAACTTCGCCATTATCCCTAGACGATGAAACCTCTACGACCAAGAGTCCGCTAAAACCCTTAACCCTAAACCCTAAACCCTAAACCCTAAACCCTAAACCCTAAACCCTAAACTTTAGACCCTAAACCCTAAACCCCAAACCCTAAACCCAAACAGCGCCCTAAACCCCAAACCCTACACCTGAGATGGAACTCCCTGAGCACTTGGTCCGGCTTCTCACTTCCACCACAGCCGTACCAGTCGTAGGTCACGATCCCGTAGCCCAGGCTCCTGGTTTAGGGCTGATAATGGGGTTTAGGGTTTAGGGTTTGGGGTTTGGGGTTTGGGGTTGGGGGTTTGGGGTTTGGGGTTTGGGGTTTGGGGTTTGGGGTTTGGGGTTTGGGGTTGACACGGACTTGAAGTCAATGCGATCAATATAAGTGAGACGGCTGATGCTTTAATCAGCATGTGTGGCATATCATGCTTCCAGTTTGGTGATGATGTCATTCAATTTTGCACACTGTTCTTGTAGGACTCCCAACCAAGCGTTTGTCTCTCGCTGAGACAGCTTTGAGGGTTTGGGGTTTGGGGTTCAGGGTTTAGGCCTACAAGAAAAACACGACACCCCGGAATCTGAGGGGACATAGTGTGAGATGTCCACAAAACCCTAGACCCTACAGGAACCCTCTAAACCCTACAAACCCTATAATTCCTATAAACCCTATCTACAAACTCCTACCCGTTGCCCCAAGTCGCTGCAGTGGCTCAACCCTAAACCCTAAACCCTAAACCCTAAACCCTAACCCCTAAACCCTACAAAACCCCATAATTCCTACCTTCTGCCAGAGTGGCTGCAGTGGCTCCACCAAGGGCAAGTACTGGGACAAGGAGGCAGCGCTACCGTGGACCAACAGCAGGGTTGGCCTCAGGCGGCTGTGAGGAGGCTCTCGGTGTCTAGGGCTATCCCTAAACCCTAAACCCTAAACCCTAAACCCTAAATCCCTAAACCCTAAAGCCTAAACCCTAAACCCTAATTAAACCCTAAACCCTGAGGGTTTAGGGTCTCGGGCTGAGGGTTCAGGGCTCAGCTGCAGTTAACTTCCCAAAACCTTGACATTCATGAAGCTTGAATGTGGAGGTCTAATGCCCCGTAAACCCCGAACCCTAAACCCGAAACCCGGGCTTCAAGTCGGGTTGAGGGTTAACAGGGTGTAGGGTTTAGGGTGAACTGGGTGAACAGGGTTAAGAGGGTGAAGAGGGCTACGAGGGTTAAGAGGGTTTAGGGCTTAGGCTTTAGGGTATCGGGTTTTTCGGGCTTGGGGCAACTTTTTATCCTGCAGAGGTTCGAACGAACCCATCCATCAAGGATGCTGAAGATGGGCGGCTCCCCCTTATCCACAGGGCATGGCCCTCAAACCCGAAACCCTGAATCCGAATCCTAAATCCTCTACCCCCAAACCCCAAAAACTCCAAACCCTAAACCCTAAACCCCAAACCCTAAACCCTAAACCCCAAACCCTAAACCCTAAACCCCCCAAATCTGAAGCCTCTTCTGCTCTTCGCCCTAAGGGTCGCGCTGACCCGGCTTCGGATCCAGCTGCAAGTAGTTCAGGCGGCGACCCGGTCGCACCTATCATCGGCAAGGGAGGGTTTAGGGTTTAGGGTTTAGGGTTTAGGGTTTAGGGTTTAGGGTTTAGGGTTTAGGGTTTAGGGTTTTAGGGTTTTAGGGTTTTAAGGTTCAGGTAAGCCGAGAAGCCAGAAGTGCTAGAAGCTCTGAAGGGCGCTCGACTTTCCTAGGAGCTTACTTTAAACCCTAAACCCTAAACCCTAAACCCTAAACCCTAAACCCTAAACCCTAAACCCTAAACCCTAAACCCTGCTTTGCCTTGCAAAGGTTTCCAACAGACTCTCCCTCTCATAAGTTCTTGTCCTTAGTGGCTTCAGGGTTTGGGGTTTAGGGCCAGGGTTTAGGGTTTAAGGTTTGGGGTCTTGGTTTCGGGTTTAGGGTTTAGGGGCTGCTACTCCCGGGCTGAACCCAACTTAAGCCCGTCAAAAAAAGGGAAAAAGGGCACCACGAAAACTGAGGGTCCTACCGGTAGATGTAGAGCGCCCTACATGGCTGGTCCCTCTTATTGGGCGTTGCGAGTAGAATGCGGCCCCGCATATAGATAGATTTAGGGTTTACGGTTTAGGGTTTAGGTTTAGGGTTTAGGGTTTAGGGTTTAGGGTTTAGGGTTTAGGGTTTAGGGTTTAGGGTTTAGGGTTTAGGGTTTAGGGTTTAGGGTTTAGGGTTTAGGGTTTAGGGTTTAGGGTTTAGGGTTTAGGGTTCCAGAAATTTCTACGGATACCTAGACCATGGAAGCAAAGTGACTCCATGAGACTCTCTGTGCCAAGCCCGAGGGCTCCTTCGGCCCCTTTGTTTTGTACAGGCGCCCGACTCGTTTAGGGCATGTAGGGTTTAGGGTTTAGGGTTTAGGGTTTAGGGTTTAGGGTTTAGGGTTTAGGGTTTAGGGTTTGCATATACCTTGGGGACGAGATGAACCCTAAAAGGATTTATGGTTCATATGCCGTAATGAGAATAGTAGTAGAGAGTTTATGATCCCAATCTTCGGGTTTCATTGGTTTCCAAGGCAGGGCTTAGGCTGGGCGTCCTAACCAGACCCTCTTCCCTAAACCTCTTCCCTAAACCTCTTCCCTAAACCCTAAACCCTAAACCCTAAACCCTAAACCCTAACCCCTAACCTGCAGGGTCGGCCAGCCTCCCTCAGTTGCGCGCGCTCGATCAGTGCCCGGCCGCTGCGCCAGGTGGCGCCGAAGTTCATGGCGCTCAGGTGTTTTTAGGCTTGAGGGCTCAGGATCTGTTCTTCTTCTTTTTATCCTGAATTTCTTCTTGAGGGGGGACTCTAAATGGGTTTCGGGTTCGATGGACATCTTCACGGCGACTGGCTGCAGGAGGGCGTCGTGAGGCCTCATGAAAAGTCGGGGCCAAGCTGAACTAGAATAGGAATTTCGGGCACACGTGTTGTTTTATAAATGATAGCTTCAGACAACTCTAACATATGGCAATTGTCTAGCCTCCTGTGTTTGCTTAGTGTTGCATGTCGTGGTGCGATCTGACCACAGAAGCTGTTTAGCAGGGCGGCCGAGCACACTGGAAGCTCCAAGTCCTGCAACACTCCCTAAACCCTAAACCCTAAACCCTAAACCCTAAGGTCATTGCTTCACTGCAGCCCCGAAACGCTCAGTCCTAAGCCCTCAACCAGGGCAGTAGTACAGATAGTGCCGAGGGTCACGATAGCAGAGCCGGGGCAGCATGTCCATTTGAGGGTGTGAAGTAGTTGGGGGGCATCAGGGATTCACATGCAGGACTCCCGGAAATCCCTAAGCCCTAAAGTCTATATAACCCTACAACCCGATACCCCCCCTAAATAGCCCTAAACCCTAAACCCTAAACCCTAAACCCTAAACCCTAAACCCTAAACCCTAAACCCTGAACCCTGAACCCTGAACCCTGAACCCTGAACCGTAAACCCAAAACTCAACAGCCCCTGCCTGTGCTGGGCGTGGAGGTTGGGTGGAGAGGAGCGCGCCACCGGTATTCAGCGCGGGCTGGGGCGTGCGAGGTGGCAGCTGGAGGCTTTGGGGGGGGCTTAACCCTAAACCCTAAACCCTAAACCCAAAACCCAAAACCCCCAGACCCCAAACCCTCTCGGGAAATTTTTGCGATATGGGGAGTTATTTAGGGCCTGTTGGTCTTTACATGAAAGTTCATGGGAGTCGCTCAACATTCAATTCTGACTGCGCGCATCCGCAGTCTCAGGAAGGAAGTGGGTATCCTTGATGAACCCACGTGGGGGGGGGGGGGGGGGGTTGACGAAAATGGGGAACACTTAATGGAGTCCCCAAATAGTCGGATTCCCTTGTGATAAGGACCCTCCAAACCCTAAACCCTACAACCCCCCATGTACAAGGACCCCGAATTTCGGAAACCTCCATGTTTGAATCAACAATGTATGTAGGGCCTGCTTTCTACGAGCCACCCCGAGAGGGGCACCGACTTCCGAACCCTAAACCCTAAACCCTAAACCCTAAACCCTAAACCCTAAACCCTAAGCCTAAACCCTAAAACCTAAAACCCTAAACCCTAAACCTTAAACCCTAAACCCTAAACCCTACGAAGTCCTGCAGGAACTGCTCTGAGACAGAGGCCGTCGATGCCAACTTGTTCAAAGCACGAGCTGCCTCGAGGGCCCGGGGGTATAGAGTTTACGTAGGGTTTAGGGGTATCAGGGTTTTGGGGGCTAGGGTTTCCTGTACCAGGACGTAGATGCTGTGAAGGTTTGGATACGGGATCAGCTCGAGAGGGGGGTTTATGCGGGAAAGGGGGGGTTTAGGGGTAAAGAAGGGTGTAGGGGGGTATATGGGCGCAGATGTCAGCTCGAAGGTTTTTTGGGGTTTGGGACTTTTTGGGTTTAGGGTTTGGGGTTTAGGGTGTTCATTCCATCACCATTCCAGGGTGTCAGGGGGTGTGGCAGGAGCAAAGGCCAACACCTCAAAACTTATAGCCTGCTAGGTTCAGGAACTAATTGACTCGAATTAATTAGGGTTTAGGGCTTTCCCTCGTTCGACATTGAACCATCCAGCTTTCCTAGTAGGGACCTAGCATTGAACCTTCCTAAACCCTAAACCCGAAACCCTGAACCCTAAACCCTGGAACCAATCCCCCGCACCCCGGCGATGTCTTCCCACCTCACCCAAGGAGATGGGACCTCCAACCATGTGCCTGGGGGATTTCCGGATAAACCCAGAGATCCAAGAAAGCCAAAAAAACATGCGTTTAGGGTTTAGGGTTGAGGGTTGAGGTTTGAGGGTTGAGGGTTTAGGGTTTAGGGTTCCCGCATCTCATAGGGACCTTTCAGGGTTTAGGGTTTGGGGTTTAGGGCTTAGGGTTTAGGGTTGAGGGTTGAGGGTTCAGGCATGTCATAGAGACCTTTAAGGCTTAGGGTTTGGGGTTTAGGGTTTAGGGTCTGGGGTTTGGGGTCTAGGGTTTAGGGTTTCGGGTTCAGGGATACCATCGAGACCTTTACGGGTTTAGGGTTTGGGGTTTAGGGTTTAGAGTCTTTAGGGTTTCGGCTCTAGGCTTTAGGGTTTGGGGTTGTGACCTCAGAAGACAAAGGGCTGCGGGCCAGGGGGGGGGGCCATCAGGGAGCATCGCACTGCCTGACCTGCTGTGCAGCCCCTCTGGCTCCCTGAACACGCTCCTTAGGGTTTAGGGTTTAGGGTTTAGGGTTTAGGGTTTAGGGTTTAGGGTTTAGGGTTTAGGGTTTAGGGTTTAGGGTTTAGGGTTTAGGGTTTAGGGCAGAGGTCCGGTACCAGGGAGCTCCGGAGGGGAGGAACGCGCAGAAGCCTTTTATACTTCAAAACCGGAGAAGGGGGCAGGGGTAGGGTACTGCACCGGCACTGGAAGTGCAGGCTCACGCTCAACACAACTCTTTAGGCTTGCATAGCTCCAAGCGGTGGTGCTAGTGGCTGTCGGGTGTAGTTCTGGGTCCAGGCAGCCTGGAGAAGGGTGGGTACGGCCCAAGCAACCCTAAACCCTAAACCCTAAACCCTAAACCCTAAACCCTAGTTTAGGGTTTGGGGTTTGGGTTCCAAGGATTGGGTTGACAGGTTGATGCATTGAGGCTCTCCGCGCGGCTTTTTGGACCCTAAACCCGAAACCCTAAACCCTAAACCCGAAACCCTAACCCTAAACCCTAAACCCTAAACCCTAAACCCTAAACCCTAAACCCTAAACCCTAAACCCTAAACCCTGACCCCTACGCTAAGCCATGGTGGGGATAGTACTAAAAATCTAGATTTTTATTCCTTAGGGAGTTTAAGTACTTAAAGCTTGGGATGTTCCCCCTTATCCTAATCGGGGGGTACGATAGTCCCGATTGAGGACTGGCAGTATAAGGGGGAATATCTCAACATGAAACCGCCTGAACTTGTAAACTCGAAGGCGCATGGAGATGTTGAGATGCTTTGAGGCTTCAGAATTTCAAGCGGCGTGGCCAGACCGGGTAAGAGGCTTAGGCTTGGGATCTAGTAAGTTTAGGGGGAAGGTTTAGGGTTCGGTACATATGTGGTCCATAGGCTTTAGTTCATAAATGGCTGAGAGGGGTCAAGTCCTACCCCTCTACCCTGCAAGAACTGTGTGCCTCTACCTGGGGTTCCGAAACTAGTGCTCCTTTCTAGGGGGGGGGCTTCCGATAGATAATGAGGACTATACCATTTTCGATGGGTTTCCCTACTACCCTACCCTACCCCCCCTATCCCCCTTGAAGAATCTTATACGAGTATAACTAGGCTGAATTCAAGTAGCCTTAGTTCTGGAACCCAGGCGGGGGGGAAGGGGCGTACTAGGGGAACCCACGACATTTTGGGGTATCTGAGGCGTAGGCTTAGGGTTTAGGGTTTAGGGTTTAGGGTTTAGGGTTTAGGGTTTAGGGTTTAGGGTGTTGGAGAACCCTCAAGCCCCGGAACCTCACTGAGCCCGCGCAAGAACACGCACATAAGAACCCCAAGGACCACCTCTTCAACCCTCAACCCTAAACCCCAAACCCTAAACCCTAAACCATAGAACCCTAAACCCTAAACCCCTAAAGCCCTAAACCCTAAACCCTAAACCCTAAACCATAGAACCCTACAACCCTCAAGCCCACACGCTGGGAGGGCTGCGGAAGCATGTGGAGTCCGCCCGGGGAGTTCTCCGGAGGGGGCGGAGCCTACAGTTCAGGGTGTCTTTTGGGGGGTGTTAAGGGCTTTGGGGGTTTTAGGGTTTAGGGTTTAGGGTTTAGGGTTTAGGGTTTAGGGTTTAGGGTACCTAAGGAACCTTAGGGAAGCTTAGGGAGCCTTCGGGAGTAGCGGGAGTATTATTAAGGATCCTTGGGTTACATACCCCCCTTGGACTTCCTTCCATAAGAACCCTATAACCCAATTTACGGCCTGAAACAGGGGATATGTAAGGAACATATCAGGGGTATATGGGTGGAACCTATCCACCTGAGATGGGCTCAGACAAGGCTTTTGAAGGGCGCGAGCCCTAAACCCAAATGTCGATTTACCCTAAACCCTAAACCCTAAACCCTAAACCCTTACTAAACCCTAAACCCTAAACCCTAAACCCTAAACCCTAAACCCTAAACCCTAAACCCTAAACCCTAAACCCTTTTGTTGAAAGCCTCGTGTGTTGGAAGGGCTCAAAACCAAGCCGGGGGGTAACCTACGAACAAAGGTACCCTTTTCGGCTTGAACGGGCTTAGAAGGGAACCAAAACCCTAAAACAAAAAACGGAACTCTCTGTCCTATAGAAGAAAAGCACATATACCTTGTACCCGAAACAAAAAACCCTAAGCCCGGTTTAGTTCATGAAACCCTAAAAACCCTACACCCAAAACCCGAAACCAAAAAACCCTACACCCGAGATAGTTCATGTCAACGTCTAAGGGCTCAGGGCTCAGGGCTTCGGGTTTAGGGTTTAGGGGTCGCAGGCGTCATCCCAGCCCTGGCAACCTTGTCGTCGTCTTCTGGCAGTCCGCGCCTGGGCAGTTGGGGGAGGAGGGGGGCAGGGCGTTTCTCCCTCAAGTCTATGAGCTGCAGCAGAAACCCTAAGCCCTAAACCCTAAACCCTAAACCCTAAACCTTAGGGTATAGGGCTTAGGCTGGTAAAACCCTAAACCCCCCAAAAAAACCATTTTGGCCACCGGACGGAGGAGCGGATGGCGGGAGAAGAGGCGGAGCGCTCCCTCGCGTCAGGCACCTGGCACGCAACTGGGGG